AACTCTTATGTGCAATGATGATTGCAGGCCTTGAGCATCACAAAACTCAAGTGGCCCTGCCCTGAGCAACAGATTAACATAATGGCAGGTTGGAAGGCAAATAGGCAAATGGAAAACACTTGTCCACCAATTACAAGATGAGGCATTAACCTAATTGGGTGTATTCACATCTTACATCTAAATTGGGGGGGGGGGGTATCTGTACAGGAAGAGGGTCCCAGGCTTGCACAGTGGGGAGGCAGCAGAGTGTCCTCCAAAAGGGCGGTGGCTGATGGTTTCAAACTGTGGACCTTGTGGTTAGCAGGCCAACGTATATTACAGCACGAGGGCTCCTTCGAAACTCAGGAGTATTTTCTTTAGTACAAACACATATGTATAAAACTCCTCTGGGGTTGTTTATTAGGTTAAGGGGGGTATGGATTACTATAAACCAATATCATAATGACCAAGCATCAATATTTTAACTTGATTGGGAGGAGGTATCAGGTCTTCTTACCTCTACTTCATTGATTAGCATCACTAGTGACAGCATATGGGTTAATTTATCTGGATTTTCCCTGCAACTCGTAAATAAAAGTTTCAGTCTAGTGGCTCTTTCACATTCTTATCTTTGGGAAAGAAATCACACAAGCTTGCTTTAAAATTTGCTGCTAAAGAAATTGAAACACACCACACTAAAATAACAAAAAACTTAATAATTTTAAGCCCACTAGTCACTTATTTTATCATGAATATATTTGATATCCCCTTTTACTTAAATCATTTCAATTATTTCGGGGCAAAACACGAAGGGTTTGCAACAGAGCAGCAAGGGGAGCAAAGCAATGAAGTCCCAAGGAATCCCAGAATTAGACTTCAGGTGCAGGGCTTTGCACCTCATCAGACTTGATCAGAAAGCATTCACAAGAGTCAACAGATAGAAATGGGACTATTCGTAGGCTTTTTCTTCTCATTTAATTTTTCCCATGCTATCTATATAAGTGAGGCAGGATAAATAATCCCAAAGAGAAAACAATGGGACCAACGGTTCCAGGGAAACATGGGAGAGAGGAAGGGAGGAGACAACAAACCCAGGGATAAGAGATGAACAAGTGATCTAAAATTGATGGCGAGGAGGACATAGGATGCCTGGTGGGATTTGATCAAGTGCAATGTAGCCGAGAGGAATTACTGAGAGCTGAATGAAGGTTGAACACAATTGTGGGACAGGAGGAAAGTAAAAGGAAATACAGAAAAGAACTAGGACACAAACGACATTTATAGAGAAATAAATATAGGCCTATGTATGTGTAAATATTTTAATATATAACAGTTGGGGGGGGCAGAGATAATAACATGCACAAAAACAAGACAGAGGAAAACTAATCAATAATATACAACAAAACAACAACAACAAACCAATGACTAAAAACAAAACAAAACACAACAAGAAAGAAAAGCTTGTAGCTGGGGTTCAAGATGTTTATGGGGAAATTCCATTATCTTTTAATCCTAGTTTTCCGTGAACTTTATAAAACTCCCTCATAAAGACAAGATATTGGGTTTTGGGTGTTACAAAACCTCTCTGGTATTTTGTAGCCTGCCCCACCCCTCATCCAAATACTACCCTAGAATCTTGCTGTGGTCAAATTGATTCTGAATCAAAGCAAACCATTCCACTCTTTTTCTTTGTTGTGCTGACTATTAATTCTTAATGACTAACATCTTCTATTTGGCAAGGGTTTATGGTTGTTGTCTTTTCAATTTTTGTATCCTAGTATCCTCAAGAATTACCTAATAAATCACGTATCTAAATATCACTAGAAGGGTAAGGTGGAGGAAGAAATGCCACATAGTGGTAAATCATTTATAGTTTTAAAGTGAAATCTCCTCACTACCATGAATTTGATTCCGACTCATACTGACCCTATAAGCTAGAGTAGAACCGCACTGTAAGGTATCGTGAGACTGGAAATCCTTAAGGAAGCAGACTCGTCATTCTTCTGTAGCAGAGTAGTTGGTGATTTGGAACCATCGAATTTTTAGTTAGCAGCACAACACTAGCACAGTGCCACCAAGGCTTCTAAACCAAAATAGGCATTGACAGTCAGACAACCCAACTTCTGCTAACTCCCTACCGGCCCTCAAATCTAAATTAAAATGAATGCCCAGTTTCCACCCCCTTGACATTGGAAAGATTGTTACTTGACAGCAAAGCTTTATGCAAATGTAAGCCTTCATCATACTATAAAAGAAAATAGGCATTTTTCCCAGAAGAGCAAATACTTCCATCCAATGAAAAAATTAAAGTGGATAGCCCAGAAATAAAGAGCCCAATTAAATCTCAAATGAAAAACATGGCTTCCTCGCTGATGGCACAGGCAGAGGCCAGTGCTCCGGATCGAGAAGGGAGGCCTTCCAGATAATTCCTCTAAGTGGTACTACATCTTCTGAAGGAGAGTAGAATTTGAGTCCAGCAAGCACTCAGACAAAGGGGAAAAAATCACTAAGCCATCTCAAAGTGTACTTCTCACACCCTTGTAAGAAACATCAGAAGCACAAAGAGCACTTATACAGAGATCCTGGGAAAAAGTAGACTCAATAGTCCTGTTAGCATCATTAGAGAACAACGATTCCCTGGGTGGCAATACATTACAGGTGCACGTAATCATTTCTACAACGTTTTGTCAAAATTTCTCTTGACTTCCGGATGATAATGAGATAATAAGTCAAGGAATGGAGTAGGGCATGGATGCTAAAGTGAAGAGGGTTCCAGTTATCATCAAGAGTCCTCACTGTGTCCAAGACATTGACTATTTCCTCTGAACACTCTACCCCCTCAGAAAATGTTGGGAATCTTGGACAGAGTTCCTTGAAGGTGTGAAAGATGACAGCAATGTTCTTCAGTGTCAATAACCCCATCTTGTGTTCTTTGCTATATCTTGCTTCACATTTGTATAACTAAGAAGAAAACCTCCTTATATGAAAGGTTTGATCACTTCTTTCTGGCAACATAATACTTTCTACAGGTGTATAACATTGAAGAATGTGCAAATCTGTCAGTGGCATCTCTGTGGTTAGTATCAACTCATGGTGCCAAGTCCTCTCTCTTATGGACCTCCTTCTATACCAGACCAGACAGAATCCTTAGCGAGGTTTACTAAACATGCTATTCTTATGGAATAAATATAGTTGTGAATGGCGTAAAAAGTGTTATTTTTTTAGATTATGTAAATACTAACAAAACTTTTGTGAAATCTTTCTGCTTTGAGTTGTAACAATATTAGTTACAACATTATTAGTAACTGAGCAGAACACTTTTCACAAATCCTAATTACCACAATACTGTAATTCAACCATCAGAAAACTGGACAAAATTGGTGACTAGAACACTGACAGCCAAGAAAAGAACAACACGTTTGTAGTGTATGTAGACAAAGCCCCATGATTCAAAACGGTATTATAATTGCATAATGACAGCTCTGCACTAGAAGTTTCATAAAGTAAATAAGCATAGTTTTACTCTTGTAGGTGTATTGATAATCGTAAGCTTGTTTATGAAAATGTTTTTGTTGTTATAATCACAGAGATTTTTTTAATAAAAATGATAAATTTCTGCTGAAACACCACCCCAAAATTTTTTTAGATAGTCATTTTGGCGTCAACCCCCCTGATAGTGTCACCCAGTATGGTCCACACTCCTGTGCCTCTCTAATGATTCTTCTAGTAATGCCATTATTAGAGAGCTATCTCTACCACCTGTAGGTATCACATTTATCATCTTTTCTTCTTTCCAGAAATGATCAGAATAAATGTTGGCAAACACTACCAACAAGCCTACTTTCTTTTACTTTTTAATTGGTTTGTAAATTCCTTAAATATTTTGAAAAGAGCTTACTGGTTTATCTCATAATATTTCATTCCACTGTATTTCATATTCCAATATAGGTGAATGGTTTTTTTTACATGGAAAGATACTGGTATGAGATATGAAGCAAGAATGTATTTAAAATCTATTTTTCTAAAGTTGTTCATTATATTTTTCATCCTTTATTTTAATACATTGAGATACATTATTGTGATTTTTCCTTTAGATAGTTTCTAAATTCTTTTGACTGTGCCTCTTTCTCACACTACATTCAATGCTTTTTCAGAAGCCAGTCTGATATTTGAGCATTAAGTTACTGGATAATTTCCATCAAGCCCATATGTGGTGAGTGAAGTCAGTGTGTAGAAAAATCTTTGGGCAGCTTTAAGAATGATTATTTATGCTACCTTTCCTTTGAATTATATTTATTAGGTTTTGAACCAGACAGACTTCTGGCTATTTGAACTAACGGAGACTAGGTTTTCTTAATATAACTATCTTCCCCATTTGGAAGGCAGCTAGAGCCATTTTTTTTTTTACGGTATGGCTGTTCTAGGCCATGAGTCTAGGCAGACTGCTTAGAAGCACATCTCGTTTAACAGACTCTGGAGGAAAAGCAAGCCTTTTATTCTGAGTCTGTATGTACAAAAATGTAGTCAATTGTCTCAAGCCAAATTTGTTAGAGCTACTCTATAAAGAAGTTGACAGATGAAGTTCACTTGGCTTGAGACAATTGACTACATTTTTGTACATACAGACTCAGAATTAGAGTAGCTCTAACAAATTTCAACGCTATAAATAAGTGGTGACTGGTTAAGTCATTCAAGGCAGCCACAAGGAGTAGATAGACCAGCATCTGGGAATTAGGAAATGGATTATAGATAAAGCTTTAATTTGGCGAAATATAGCTATTCTTTAAATATAGTTAACAATATTACAATTAAAAGTTAAAATTTGCTTGATATGATTGATGTACGGATTGTTATAATAGCTGTAAGAGCCTCCAATAAAATTATTTATTAAAAAATTTATTAAAATTTGAGGGCAATGAATTATCATAAGTGGATTCAATACTCTTTGTGAGAATAAATGCTAGTAAATTCGTTTTTTTATTTTTTAAGGAGAAAATTTTATATTTATTTTATTTTGTTGTATTTGTATGAAGGAGGCTGGCAGCATTACTACACATTTAGTTAAGCTGCTAATTAACCTCCAACTACTTGGTTAGCACATAGAATATAACACTCTTCCCATATAAATGGAAACAGGTTGATGAAATGTGCACAGAAAATGTGTTTATTTTTTAAAATTGATATGAAAATAAATGCTAAAGTTGTAAGCTTTACTGCATTTTTCTATCTCTTCTATTATAAACACTGCCAATCATTGGCTTGTGTTGAACACTTGTATGCAGAATGTCCGTGTTTTAATCCACCAGAAACAACACCTCAAAACGTTGTATCTTTCACCACAGATTCTCGTTCCATCCTTGAGACTGTACAACTGCATAATATATAAATTGAATGAGCCATAGTTTAAAACCAGGAATACTGACTCACGGTTAATGGAGGAGAAGATAAAGATTTAGAATATTAGAGACCAAGTGGCAAGAAAATGCCATCAAAAGCAATGTGGGCAATTTACTCTGTTGTTAGTTGTCATGGGGTTCATTGCCACTCACGGCAATGTGCAGAGTAGAACTGCTCCATTGGATTTTCAAGGTTCTGACCATTCAGAAACAAATTGGCAGGCCAGCCTGGGTGGGTCTGTGCCACAAACCTCTTAGCTAATAGCCACACACTTAACCATTTGTGCTATCCAGGGACTTCAGTTGTTAGGTGCCATTGAGTCTGCTCCAACACATAGGGACCCTGTGTACAACAGAACGAAACACTGCCTGGTCACCCTCACACTTGTTCTTATGTTTGAGCCCAGTGTTGCCGCCACTGTGTCGATCTAGCTTGTTAAGGGCTTTCCCCTTTTTCTCTGCCCCTCTACTTTATTAAGCATGATGCCCTTCTCCAGGGACTGGTCTCTCCTGGGAACATGTCCAAAGTATGTGAGATGAAGTCTCTCGACATCCTTGCCTCTATAAGGATCCTACTGGATGATCTTCTTCCAAGAGAGATTTATTTGTTATTTTGGCAGTCCATGGTACTTTCAATAATTTTGACCAAAACCATAATTCAAAGTTCCAATGGACAGCAAAGTCAGAGTGGAATCAATTTAGTTACTTTGACAAATAGGGATCGGTGGCAGTTCTTTATACATAGTAGTGTTCCAGTGGCTAGATATATGGACAGTTTGCTGGGGATATTTATTTTTATTTTTATAGAAAGATATCTAACAAGCAGACCTGTTGGCCTGCTAACCATAAAGTCAGCAATTCAAAGCCACCATCTTCTCCTTGGGAAAAAGACAACGTTTTCCACTCCGGTCAAGAGTTACCATCTTAGAAACTCACAGGGGACAGTTCTACCCTGTCACATAGGGTTGCTATGAATTGGCATCAACTCAGTGGCAGTGAGTTTGGTTTTTGGTTTCATAAGCAGAAAGGTGATGTTAGCAACTGTAGTGGAAAATCGCTATTGCCACCAAGTTTCCAGATCTAAGTCAGTTCATATGGCCTTAGGTCATTGATTGAAGTGGTGGTCACAAAAGTCCACCCGATCCTTCCCCAAACGAACTTACCATTATTTCCCAAGGTAAATGTGTACCGTGGGAAGGATGACACCAAGAATAGTTATAAAGAACTGAGTATAAGTGTGGTACAGTGAATTTACATGGCTCATCTCGCCATAGTTGTTATGGCATCTATGAATCCATTTTCTTCAAATGGGTTTGGTAAGAGAAGATGGGGGAAGAAGCTGATGAAAGGATTATGTGATTCAGGTGTAAAGGTGTATGACAATTGCAAAAACCTGGAAATCTGAAGGGATTGGTCAATTTCCCCATCCTTCTGGGTAAAAAATGAGCCATCTCAGAAACAGGAAAGCGTGTGGGATTTCACTACTAGTGAGGAAAAAATGGGCGAGGAGTGGAACATGTCCTCTGGGCCATAAAAGCACTGTGAAGTGCACCTACTGCATTTAGGAGACAGAAAGTTGTAAGACCATAGTAATGCCAGAGATGGGGCATCAGCAGAGCTCCAGCAGGAGCTTCAGAGATGGGCTACCCAGTCCACGGAGTCAGGACAGGGGAGTACGACTGGGCAGGAGGCTGACTGGTAGATTTGGTGCCTCCAGGCCCTGAATTAGTGAAGATAGGCTTGTTCACTTCTGTCAAAGCAGAATACCCTTTGGGCATTTATTGAGAGTGCTAACAAAACAAAAACAAAAAACCCCTTTTTTTATCACAGGGCACAGGCCAAGCTGAGATGCTGATAGGCCAAGGGCCTGAATGAGACGTGCCTGTGGGCACGGCAGAGAAGAGACTGTCATGACCAAAGGACCGTGTCTCAAAGATTCCTGATCCTAAATTGTAACCTGCTAACTCCCCTAATAAAACCCCAAACTGTATTGCAATAAATTATCAAACCTAGCACAGACAGAAAGGGTGGTGGGAAGGATGACTGGTGTTAAATGGGTAAAGATTGGAGGGTGGCTGCATGTCACTTCACAGGAGTCACACTTGGACAAATGCCGATTTTCATTTTCCTTGCCCTTTGTGAAGTCAGAAAAGGTCAGAGGCCACCTCCACGTCATTTTTTTTAAACAAAGTGTTTCTCTGATTACAAATGGGCTTATAAAGTTCAAGCAATAAACAAAACGCTATCTCAAGTTCATCTCACAGTGGATCAATGGTTCTGTGGACCCACTCTTGAATTTAGCTCCCTTGACCATCCAGTAAAAGTTGGTAATATTGTACTTAGTAAGTAGCAAGATTTTCATATAAATTTAAGTGAATGTTATGGATTGTGTCCCTCAACATATGTTTTAGAATTCTAATCCCTATACCTGTGGATATAATAATACTGGGAAATGAGGTTTTCTTCATGATATTAATGAGGTCATATCAATGACCTAACTGCTTTAAGTTCTGAAAAGAGCAGACCAGACAAAAAGATGCACATTTGCTCTGGGGAAAATAGCTGTCCTATAAGGATCACTGCAAACCAAGGAACAATGATTCTACTGACAAAGCATAAATGGACACAGTTGAAATAGTGATAGGGACTGTTAGCCTCTGGAACTGTCACAACTTAAACTTCTGCCTTTAAAGCCACTCAGTTTAACAAGTGCATGCGCAGGTGAAGACAAAATAGATCGTTGGGCCCTAATGGAAATTCAAAAGTTTTGTTCATCAAAGGACCTTCATAAAAAGACAACCTACAGGCTGGGAAAAGTCTCCCAGAAATGCTACAACTAATAAAGGTTTAATATATATAATTTCTACAAATCAACAACAGAAAGATAATTCAATAAAAAATAGGCAACACATGTGAACACATATTTCATTCAAGTGGCCAACAAGCAAATGAAAAGATGACCAATGTCAATTAACCATTACATATATACAAACCAAAACTATAATGAGATACCATCCCACAATTTCTAAAACAGAAATGATTTGAAAAACAACTAAGAAACAGAAAATAGCAAATGCTGGCAAGGATAGGACAACTGGAACGCTTATCTATTGTTGATGAGAATGTGAAATGGTGCACCTATTGTTGGAACCAGAATAGCAATTTCTCAAAAGATTAAAAATAGGACAACATATGACCTAACAATTCTACTCCTAGATATCCTACAGCCCTAAAGTTAGCAATGTGAGTAGACATAAGTATACCTATGTTCACTGAAATATGAAAATTAAAGTTGGGCATTGAATAAGGAAGACCAAAGAAGAATTGATTCATTTGAATTGTGGTGCTGATGGACAATATTGAAAGTACCATGGACTACCAAAAGGACAAATGTGTCTTGGAAGAAGCCCAGCCAGAGTGCTCCTTAGAGGAACACATGGCAAGAATTCATCTCCTGTACTTTGTACATGTTGTCAGGAAAGACCCGTCCCTGGAGAAGGACATCATGCTTGGTAGAGGAGCAGTGAAAAAGAGGAAGGCCTTTGACAAGTTGGAATGATGCAGTGGCTACAACAGTGAGCTCAGAACTAAGAACAATTGTGAGGATAGCACAAGCCTAGGCAGTGTTTTGTTCTGTTGTACACAGGGTTGCTGTGACTCAACTACACCCAACAACAGTGATGCACTCTTTACAATAGCAAAAAGGTGGAAACAGTCTCAGTGTCCATAAACTGATGAATGGATAAATAAAATGTGGTTCAGACATACAATGGAATACTACTCAGTCATAGAAACAAATTAAGTTGTAATACATACTGCAATATGGATAAACCTTGGAAATATAGTGTTTGGTGAAATTAGTCAATTACATAGCCTCATTTATCTTAAATGACAACAATAAGTAAATATATACAGACCAAAGTTTATTAGTGGCTAACAGGGACAGAAGGGGCATGGAGGGGGGAACAATTCTTTGGGAAATAGTACTTTTTGGTCTATGGCAATGACAAAATTGACATATATTAAGGGCAATAGTTATACAACCCAACTAATGTAATTTATATCACTGAGCTGTATACCAGAAAATCTCTCATGGGTTTAGTTTTCTTGGGTCAAAGGCCATGATTCACATAGCTGTCTAGTCAATTGGCCAAATGTTGGTTTTAGGGTTTCTGTTCTACCTTCTAGTTCATTGAGTATTGCTTGGCTTTCAAGTCTGCATTCAAGATAAAACAATTGCCTCCCCCTGGAGTGGCAGAGAAAGGAGACCAAGGACTCAGATGATGATCTGGACTAAAGGTCTCATTGTCTCCATGGACAACTGCTTTCTTTATTTATAAGACCAGAAGAACTGCATGAAGCCCAGCCAACAGTACTTACTGATGGCTTTTTGTTGTTGCTGGAGAAAGCCAGGGCAATTTTACTTGGGATAGTGACATACAAAGCCCCACAGTAATGTACACTGGTGAGACAAGGACCTAGCCCAGGCTCCTTTTGGGGACTATTGGGAGTAAATTTCTCCTGCAGTGTCTTCCATATGATTTTATTCATTTCTGTCTGTGGACAAGACAAGCTTGTACTCGTCCAAGGTCAGCCTAATGAAGCTCATATCTCTGGGCCGAAAGCTCCTGTGTTTGTAATAGTTGGGAAGGAGCCATACTATGCTCTCATACATCTGATCACATGCTTCAGAGTCTGCAATTTGTGTGTTCTCTCCCCAAAAGCCTGTGCTGCATGCTGCCGCAAATAAGTGCCCA